ATCAAATGGGCTGAGAAACATGGTATTAAATAAAATGCCTTGGGAAGTTCTAACCAAATTACATCACATAAAAAGTGAAACACAGGAAACCTGAGATTTCCAAAATATTTTACTTTCACTAATTTCAATATACCAAGTAAGGAAGCATATCCAGAACCATCTCGCCGGGCGCGTGCCTGTAGTCCCAGCTACTCGGGAGGCTGAGGTGGGAGGATCGCTTGAGCCCAGGAGTTCTGGGCTGTAGTGCGCTATGCCAATCGTGTGTCCACACTAAGTTCAGCATCAATATGGTGACCTCCTGGGAGCGGGGACCACCAGGTTGCCTAAGGAGGGGTGAACCGGCCCAGGTCGGAAATGGAGCAGGTCAAAACTCCCGTGCTTATCAGTAGTGGGATTGCACCTGTGAATAGCCACTGCACTCCAGCCTGAGCAACATAGCGAGACCCTGCCTCTTTAAAAAAAAAAAAAAAAAAGAGAGAGAGAGAGAGAGAGCACCATCTCCTAGGAGTGCCATCCTGTTCTGTCCTGACCCCTGTGGAGATTCCAAAGAAAGACAAGTTCCATACTGTTAGTGAAGCAAACCTGAAACCTAGTGTCACTCCCTAGTTGAAAAATCCTTTGATGGCTCCTTTCATCTACAGGTTAAAGTTTAAACCATTGTGAACAGCTCTGAAAGGCCTCCAATATCTGGCTCTAATTTACCTTTCTAGTCTTATTTTCCACTTCCAATTCTCTTCAGTTCATTACCACAGACACTTCACTTTCCCATCTCCCCACTGTGTGTAAACTATTTCTTCAGCTTTGAATATTCTTCTGCCCAACACCTGTTGAAATTCTATTCCTCTTTCAAAGTAGCAAGGTATATTGGTAAGAGCTCAGCCTTCAAGTCCAGATCTAGACCCACTGGAATTCCATGACCTAACAGCTTAATCACCTCAAGCAAATACATTAACAGATATGTTTCCTTACAAATACCACCTATGGTGCTTTACATAAACTGCTGTAAGGATTAAGCATAATAGTTATATATTAACACTACGCCTAAGGCATAGTAAATACGTAATAAATGTAAACTGCTAAACCATCCTTCTCCCCTCACAAATACTTTTGGTCTTCCTTAAGCTCCCACAGCACTCTTTTAAATACAACATTATGGCCAGGCATAGTGGTTCATGCCAGCACTTTGGGAGGCTGTGGCAGGAGAACTGCTTGAACATAGGAGTTCAAGACCAGCCTGGGCAACATAGGGAGACTTTATTTCTACCAAAAAAAAAAAAATTAATTAATTTGCCAGGCATGGTAGCACAAGCCTGTAGTCCCAGCTATTCAAGAGGCTGAGGTGGAAGGCTCAGCTTGAGCCTGGGAGATTAAGACTGCAGTCAGCCGT